TTATTAATCATGTCTTGCACTATGGGCACAATCTCTGCTGTTATGTGAGAAATTATTTCTGATTTTATTTTTTCCAGCTCTTTTGTTGCCAGTTCAGGGAGTCCAGGTGGTTGAGTATTCTACTGTTCCATCTTGTTTCCCTTTGATGTTGCCTTAGGTGATCTGGAAGTCTGGTTTTGAGATTTGTTTACGTGTTTTCTCCTTTCAACAGATGCAGCCTGCTGTGCCTTTGTTGAGGTAACTTTTTGCTCACCCAATCATCTTCAATTCTCAGCAAGCCACCAGGTAGACTTTACTCTGCTGCTCACCAGTACACTAATTCCTGGGTTCAGAATAGTTGCCTTTTGGATCCCTGAGCTGACCTATTGTCTGGGTGGGCTTCTGGCTGGGGCCTGTGCACACCTGAGATGGTATCTAGGTGTGCCTCTCTCTAGGGCCTCTATGTACCTCTTGTCTGGCAGGGCTTTTGGCTGGCAGCTGTGCACCGCAGTTCCTGTTGTGTGAGGAAGCTTCTGACAAGGGTCTCGTTTACTTACCAATGGTATCAGGGTAAACCTCTGACTGTTGCTTGTGCACCTGTGCAGCTCTTTTCTAGGCAGGCCCTTGGCTTGGGCCAGTGTGCCTGAGCCTCTGGGGTCAGGGCAGAGCCCTGGCTGTGATCTGCTTGCAGCCATGCTGCTCTGGTGCACACTGCTCCTCCCCCAACTAAGGTGGTCTGGTGTGCCTTTATTGCAGAGATTCTCTTCACTTTTCCATTGGGCTTGTTTTCATCAAGGAGGCTCATAGAGGCCCTCTTTCTGTTGTTCACTTCTGCTCTGTCTTCTGGAGCTCAGAACAATGTCCTTTATGACCCCTGCAACTCTGCAGTGTGGATCCAGGTAATGGCTCAGCACAGCCTCAGGGAAAGGGGGAGGGTGTTGCTGGTGCCCTGGAGGCTCACCTCCTTGGCACTGGGGGGAGGGGCCCTGCTCCTCAGTGCTCAGGGGCAGTGGTATGGCAGCCCAAGAGGCTCTGCTACCTTAATTTTCCCCTTGCCAAGTAACATATTCGTAGAGATGAGGACCTGTATATTTTGACAAGGGATTGGAGGTGCACTATTCTGATTATTCTGCCTACCATAACCACTTTGGTATAAATTTTGAATTTTAATTACTAGATTATCCAATAGTCTCCAAATGAGGTTCTCTGCTTCCACCCTTTTTCCTTTATGCCTCCCCTCCAAAGAGACCAGATAATTTCACATAAAATTGAAGTGTGACCATGCTGAGGATGTAGTTCAGTGGTAGAGCATTTGCCTAGTTTGCATGTGGCCCTGGGTTCAATTTTCAGCACTGAAAAGGTAATAATAATAATAATAACAATGATGATGGTGATTAAATATGATCATGTGACTCCTTGGCTAAAAGTGTAATGCCTTCCCATCTTACTCAGTACAAAGCCAAAGTTCTCAAAGAGCCTACAAAGGTCCTTCTAACTCTTCTACTCAATGTCTCCTATCTTCCTCCCCTTTATTCAGCTCCAGTCACACCAGTCTCCTTGCTATTCTCTAAGTGAGGTAACTCCTCACCCCCAGGTCCTTTACACTTCTTGTGCCTGGACTACTCTTTACCCAGATGTCCATAAGACTTATTCCCAACCTTCTGCAGTTCTTTGCTCAAATGTTATTTTATGAGAGAAATCTTCCTTGACTAGATCACCCTATTTAAAATAACATCCCTACCCATAATATTCTCTGTCTGCTACAGACTGGAAGTTTGTGTCCCCCTAAATTCCATTTGTTAAAGCTCTAATTCCCAATGTGATGTTATTTGAAAGTGTAGCCTTTTAGAGATAATTAAGTCTAAAGGAAGTCATAAGTGTAGAGCCTCCATGATGGGATTAGTGCCCTAATAAGAGTGGAATTATCTCTCAGCTGAGTATCCAGCAAAAAACCAGAAAGATGAACCTCATTAGCCAGCACCTTGATCTTAGACTTTCAGCCTCATGAACTGTGAGAAATAGTATTTGTTGCTTAACTATCAGTCTATTTTGTTATAGTAGTTCAAGTTGACTAAGACATCATCTTCACTCTTCATTTTCTTCATAGCACTTGTATGTTTGTTTAGTATTTAGGTCTTTCCAGAAGAAACTATGTACTTTGTTCTTTCACTGTTTTCTTAGCATCTGTATACTGAGATTCTCAGTAACATTCAATAATTATCTCTTGGATGACTAAATGGAATGTAATTTTTTAACTCTACTACTACTACCTAATGCATAGTTGACTTCTTGTGTCCTTAGTTCATAAGAGCTTTCTCTTCCCCAGAAATGGAAGTTATTAAATTGTTGATGACTAACATTAAAATTATAGGAATATAAGATGAAAGGCAATTTGTTTAAATTTAGGCATAAGATATAGAGAAAAATACTTTTAAATACATTTTCAACTTTGTGGTTATTGAAGTAATTAATTATGAGACTACTAACTGAGGAATGGGAGGAAAATACTTTTGATAAGCCTACTATTTCTCAGAACAGGATAAAGGAGTTTTGTTTGTCTGTTTTCATTTTTTTTTCCTGACCCTCAGCTGTGGTAATTTTAAGCTGATGGAAAAAAATTCTGATCTGCTATGTTTTGGTCCTTTTGTTAGACAAAATATGAGGAAATGTGGTCTGTTTTATAATGTTTTTTGGTTTCTAAATGGCTATTTAAATACAGATAACAGTACATAGACAAACTGGAGGAGCAGGTTCTGCTACTCAACCCAGTTAACTTGTTACCTGATATGTCCACTCAGATGGCAGAGCCAGTAATGCAGTGTGGTGTAATACAGTGGGAAATTTGCCCAAGCTGACCCCCTAAATGCAAGAAGTAGCCCTCATGTTGAGAACTGTGGAGGTTGGGACAAATCATTAACTGACAAATACCACTCATAGAATTTCAGAACATGGTGAAAAATGGAACCTCAGACAAAAGGAATTTTGAAGATACTATATAATAGGTAAGATTTTCTTTCTTTCTTTCTTTTTTTGGGGGGGGTACCAGGATTGAACTTGGGACCTCATGCTTGCAAGACTGGCTCCAGAACCACTGAGCTAAATCCCCGGCCATAGGTAAGATTTTCTTAGAAGAGTAATGTAAAACATTTTTTGCACCCCAGTTTTATCTATAGAATTCAAATAGTTTACTTTTACCAAGATTTCTACACTTGGATTCTAGCAAAAAAGAGAAAGAAAGAATACTTTTTCATGTGGTACATGCCATTTCCTTAAAACAACTTATCTTTCTTATTTAAAAAAGTTGGCGGGCCACGGATTTAGCTCTGTGGTGCTGCCACCTGCTTCACAAGTGCAAGGTCCAGAGTTCAATCCCCAGTACCCCCCCAAAAGAAGTTTGCTCTGGGGTTGGTTATTCTATTTTCACTAATAAAACTATATATTACACACATAAATATATACATATTTTGTAAGATTTACAGTCAATGTTTATACATGGTCAATGTTTATATACATGTAAACACAAATGACCATAAATCTTACATTATATTTTATGAAATTATATATTTATATAATATAAATTTATAGTGTATTTATAAACATTGACCATAAATCTTAAAAATTACATATTACAAAATTAAATACTATTATGCAATATATGTGTATAAATATTGACCACAAACCTTACAAAATTAAATGAACGATCATTACAAACAAATGTGATTAGTACCTATTTTAATAGTCCGTGGCCAATGAGAATCTGCTTTTTCCTAAGGCAACTGGTTAGGCCACCTCTCCTGATTTTTATATTTTGGCAACTAAAATAAAAATTTTGTATAGTAACAAAATTACATATTCTTCCAGGGTTGAAGGAAGTTAAGTGGGGTATAGAAACAGTCACCCAGAGACCAATCCTCTGGGCTTAGAATCCTCAAGTGACTAGTGATTGGAAGATTCCAACTGGCTTCCTAGAGTGGAAAATTAAATTTAACTTCTTAGAGTTTCCCTTTCCTTCTTACGAAACTAGGACATTATATAATTTTAAAGTGGCTAATTCGTTTCTAAGTCCCTTCCTGACCTACATAGTTCAAGGCTGCTATAAATACTTTAAAAGTTGGTTTATGTGTGTACACAGATACCTCCATATATGTTATCTATATACATATACACAGTTCCATTGTGAAAAGAGGAAGAGCTATACAATATTTCATAGGAGGACTTTACAGTGCATCGAGATTGTTTATCAAGATGTTCTTGTTCCTGAAAAAAATGTAAGTTTCTGGGTGGCATTGGGTTGCAGAAACAGTTTTGAACAGCCAGATTTGGTCAACAGTTCTACGCACTCCCCCTTCAGGCTCCAGGCGCTTCAGTTAGTATACAGGGAAGTGGTTTAGGGACCACATCACAGCTCAACTGGGGACCCAGCGGAATTTGTAACCTCCACTGGCTGTCCGGATGGTGAAGGCGTTGCCCTGGGGGAAGGCAAGGGTTCGGATGGTGCTATGGCTGCGGATAGGGGTGCTAAAGGAGCCTCCCTCCTCCAGCTCGCTGTGGCTCAGGTTCAACACGCTCGGGCTGCAATCGGTACGCAGTCCCCGGAAGGCTCCGTGCAGGTTACTGGGCCTGCCATCAGCGCTCGCGGGCTCCAGCTGCACCCGGGGCCGCTTTGGATCCCGGTTCTCCAGAGCTTCGTCGCAGCTCTGGGAAATCTCCCTCAGGATGGCGTCCACTTCCGCGCAATCTTGACCTGCGGCACTGACCAGCTCCTCTAGACTCCTTTTGGCTGTCGCCTTGAGCAGGAAGGTCTCCGCCGCTGTTCCGAATTCTCGGGACTGCGTGATCATCAGCTTCTACGAAAGATGAGGAAGAGCGCCGCCCTGGGGCCGGCCGGACTCTCCCCTTGTGGGGGACGCGCTGCGTATCCAGCTGGCTTCTACTTTCCCATACCCCAATGGGGTCACAACACTGGCAGCAGGGGTGGGGGTCAGGGAGGCATCAGAAGAGTTCCGACGACCCGCAGCGCCCCACTTACATCCAGCACCGCTGCCAGGTGCCGGGTCCGACTGGCGAGTTCTTTGAGCTGCACGTTTCGCTCCTTCAGTGAGGCGATCTCCTTCTGTTTCTGGGTTAGTGTCACGTGCAGCTGCAAGAGGAGACCCCGATAGAGACAGGCCACCGAGCTCGCTGTCATCTGCACAAATTAAACCCAGTCCCTGGGGTCTCATCAGAAATTGAGGCCCCAGGGTCATTTACACTCTTAAGAATAATTTATTTCACTTTTTTTTTTTACACATTACTTGGATTTAAAATATATCTCAACTAATCCTCAGTGTGACAGTACTGGTGGAGAGTATTGACTTAGGTAACTGGTAGATCTAGGTTTTGCCTCTGAAGTCCAACCATCCCCATATCTTGGTTTATTTATCTGTAAATCGGGACTGGTAAGAGTATCTAGTCAGGAGCTGTATTAAATAGAAGGAGAAAGTACAGTACATTGATAAACCCAGTGCAGGCCCATAAAAAAGTCTTTACTAAATATTGGCAGACCTACTGAAAATCTGGTGATGTGGGAGTATTCTTTTTTTTTTTTTTTTTTTTTTTGTACCAGGGATCGAACTCAGGTCCTTCTGCTTGCGCAGCAGGTGGCAAAACCCCTGAGCTAAATCCCCCGTCCAATGTGAGATTATTTCCACCTAGGGAATTTGGAAACTGAGACGGAGCTGATGGAGCAGCAACAGCTACATAAACCACCAGCTGGTCCACTGGTCAGAACCCCACAGGAGGCATCCTATCCTTGAGATCCCCACTTCTTCCCTAATCTCCAGACCCTGTCCCCACCCCAGGATCCTTGACCACCAGGCCAGTGTCCTACTTGGTTATTCTCCACAAGAGCGTCCCCCAACGCCCTCTGATTCTGGTCGGCCACCTCCTTCCAATACTGCTCCAGTGGCAGAGATGGCTTGTCCGGAGGGCACAGTGGTGGTGACTTCAGGGCCTGCGGGTCTAGCGGCGGGGAGAGGCCAGGACCAAAAGGTGATACAGATCCATCGTTGCAAGGAGAGAAGGGGAAGTCACTGTCCACCAGGGGAGGTGACATCAAAGAGGATGAGTCTGGGGGAAGAACAAGAGTTGGATTTGCTGCCTCAGAGTCATCCTCAGATAGCTATAGGAGCAAAATGCCACAGCAGGTGTAGCAGCTTAGGTGAAGATGTATTCACTTATGTGAAGTAAGGATGCCACTCTGCATTCTGCACACCCTACCACTGTCAGGCCCTTCTTCATACCCTGTACATACAAAGCAGGAGTTCTGCATACACCTGCTGGGTCTCAGCTGAATTGGGAAAACCTGCCTGGGCCTAGAAGTCACACAATGCCTTCCCTCCTCTACACACTCTTGTCATTCGACTTCTCCCTGAGCCATATCAGGAATATCCCTAGATTCCTCTCCCAGAACTCACAAGAACAAACCAAGAAAGTACTATAGATCCAGTGATTCAACTCCATTAGAGGGAGGAGGGTACCCTAAATATGGAATAGCCGTGCCCCTTGGTGAGATTCTGGCGAGTCATTGACCGGTGGCCGTGATTACCGCCTTCATGACCAGGAAATCTGAATTAGTCTGATTCAAGGGTGGGGGACAACCCCGCATCCTCGTTATTTAATTACAAGGAGACTGCACTTGCCTGCAATGAGATCATCCACTGTGTCTCTGAAATTCTGCAGATCGAAGTCTGCTTCTGTTTGCAAGGAATGGTTCTAAAATAAACCAGGGGTGCAGAAACAGTCAACGTTGAGTCTGGCCCTTCTGGAATCATTCCTAGGCGGACAAGCGTCCTCCCATTTTCCGCGGAGGGTCTGCACGGGTCTGCACGCACTTGCATTCGCAGCCAAGTCGCATACCTGAAAACCCAAGCCCCATCCGGCACAAGGAGCCCATGGGCTTGCACTGCGCTGGTGGAGAGACAGAAGCACAAAGCGCAGACCCCGTCCGCTAGGCGGCAGCCCGCTCACCGCGCAGGGCGCGCAAACTGGGCACAGCGGTCCTTTCGCGGGCGGTGTGGGAGCCTCGAACCTGCCGCTTCAGTGACTCGCACCAGACAACCAGCTTCCTCCGTCGTGGTTGTTTGTGCACCCGCAAACCTCAACTCCAGCCTACCCCCGGCTAGTCAAGAAGTCGCTGCTCTAAGCAGAGCTCGGCTTGAGAACTGGGTCTTTGCTCCCAAGAGCCAGCAAGCGTGCAGAGTCCTCCAGCCTGATAATCTGAAACCCCGCTTCCCCACTTCCTGAAAAGGCTGTTGCCGCCATTAACCACTCACCTCCCGCCCCCAGCAAGGAAAGGGAAGGGTGGGCTATAATTGGAGGTGCCAGGGATGCTATGGAAATTGCTTCTGTTCAACACGCAGCAGGTGTGGCCTCTACTGCTCTTTTCAATTTCTCACAAAGTTGGAGTTGACTTCCCTTTCAGTCGATGCACCTCCAACTTCTCGATCTGGATACTTTCTTGGTCTCCCACTGGGCGTCTGGGTGTGTGAAGGGGAAGGAGACTGTAAAGGCTGTAGGGTAGACACCTACCTATTCCCTTCATTCATAGGCATTTCAAGCTGACAACATTTCTTTTTCTTTTTCTTTTTTTCTTTTTTTTTTTTTTTTTTTTTTTTGGTACTGAGGATTGAACTCGAGACCTTGCACTTGCAAGGCAGGCGGTGGAACCACTGAGCTAAATCTTCAGCCCAACAACATTTTCTTTTTTAGTTTCTCAGTTAATCCTCAAACCAGTGTGGGTGGCAGTCAGGGCCCAGGAAGTGCTCCCTCTTCCTCGAAGAAATCTGAAGCTCAGAGAGGTTGAGTTACCCAAAGTTGCCCACCTCCTGCCCTCGAATGCTAGTGCCTATTTCAGTCTTCTTTTCTCTACTTGCCACTGCCTCTCCTTTTTAGGAATACCTGGCTTCCACTGAAGAAGGCACTGGTAAGGAGAAAGTAGTCTCCATGGCCATGGTAGGAGGGGTTGGATTCCAAGGTCCTTTCAGAAATATCTATTCTACAGATTCCACTCTTGATTTGTGCCTTGGTGTTAATCCTGCTGGTCTCCCCAAAGCCCTTCTTTACTAGTTACATACTGTGGGAAGAGGAACTTATTCTGACACTAATTTCAAAGTATCAGTTTCCATCAGGGAAGAAAAAGTCAAAAGTCAACACTTCAGCCAGTTTGGACACTGAGGCTACACAGAAGGGGAAAGGAGGTGAGAGAGGAAGGATTGAAGGCACCAGGCTAATCCTGAAGCACCTGTTCTGCCCTGGTTGAAGAAGTCAGAAATGACATTCTTCAAAAGGGTGGAAAGTCTCCACCTCCATCCAGATTGGAGAAGAAGAATCCTTACCATCATGGAGGCCAGCTCAGGAACTGGGGCCCAGAAAATGCTTCCTCCCAGGTACTGTGTAGGTTTTTGCCTATGCAGGACCTCAAACACTTCTAATGCACTCACCCTCTGTCCACCTTCCCCAGCAGAAAAGGGGTTGAGAAATGTGACCCAAGGGTGCTGTATACCAGAGACTTATTAGGGGTCACTCTGCCCCTGTACCAGCTCTGTCTTTCCAGGTAGAAATCCTGGACCTTTTGGTCCATCTGGTGTGAGCGCTATCCTTGAAATTTTTAATCCTGCCTTCCCAATTAGATAAATCTGGCATTTCTCCAATTACAAGAAAAACTACACAGAACATGATGTCAAATTTAAATTCTGTATACTTAAGTGAAAAATTCAACGAACAAGAGAGTCTGCTTGGTTTTTGTTGTTGGGGTAAGGGAGTGAACTAGGATCTGGGTCAGGTGAAAGATGCTCAGATTTCTCTTATTTGAGCATTGAGATCTAAAAGAATTAAATGGGGGGCCGAGGATTTAGCTATGGGCTGGGGATTTAGCTCAGTGGTTCCAGCCTCTGCCTTGAAAGCGCAAGGTTCAGAGTTCCATCTCTGGTACCAAAAAAAAAAAAAAAAGAATTAAATGGGCTCTGCCAAGCAATGCCCAATCCCTTCTTCTGCCTTAACAATGTCTGCTTTCAGTGGCTGCCTACCCTAAGTCCTCCTGAGTTCTTTCCCAAGGTTCTGCAAGGCCTTTGGTGGAGGACTGTGAAGAGCTTTGCTCTACCACCACTCCCAGTTCTGGGAGGTGGCTACATCCGGTGAGTTCTCTATTGAGCCTGTCCCAGTACCTGCTGTCAGGAAGCTGGAAGGAGCTCCCTTCCTGTGGGTTACATCTAGCTAAGACCACATGTACTTCTGGGTACTTGAACCAGGCTTCTCACCTCCCAGACAATTTAGAGAGACTCAGTCCTCTGCCTGGGAAGTGTCAGCCCCAACAAGTGGTAAAAGTGGGAAGGAAGAAGACAAGTTTAGGGGAGAAGGAAAAAGTCAAATGTCTCTTTGCCCAATGATGGCACATGAACGGAGATTTTGGTGGGAGTGAAGAGGACTTTTTACAAGTGTCCTACTGCTGAAGGGCCATCACTGCATAAAGAAATGTTTTCTGTTGATTTCTTCTCAAGTCCTGTGTCCTTCTTCCCACTTCCCCAAATACAAATTCTTTCACATTGAGCTGCATCCCCAGACCTTTTTTATTTTTTATTTTGAGACAAGATCTCATTAAATTGCCCAGGCTGGACTTGAACACGTGATCCTCTCGCCTCAGCCTCCCAGGGTGCTGGGATCACAAGCGTGAACCACCCTAGTCGTTATTCATCGACTTCCATGCCCCTTGAATACCCAGGGAATGAAAATAGTTAGTAAATGGCCAGGAAGAGGGTCTTGGGAGAACCGACAGGACATGTATCCTGTGCGAAGGTACCCAGCGCACAACTTCTCTGGCACCCATCCACCTGGTCCCTCAGTGCGACATCTCCGCGAGACCTCGTCACAGCTCCACGATATACATGGGGAGCCCTACACTGTAAAAAGCAGCCCAGAAGAAACAACTGCGGAAACACAGCCTTCAGAACGTACTAGGAGGAGGAAGTTCGGGGTTCCCGGGGAAAGGGAGGTACCTGCGAGGCGTCCGGGTCACCAATAGGCGGCGCGACGGACCCGAGGAGAGAGGAACAGTCGGCAAGGTCCTGCAGGTCTATGGTGGTGAGGGCTGCACGGGGAGACCGGGAGACACGCGCCAAGCGGACCTCAGCCTCTCCGCCGAGCTGCCCGCTGGAGCCCTCGCCAGGACGTCGGAGGCCAGGGAGAGAAGCTCCCTGCTGCGCGCGCCGCACCCACCCGGCGCGGGGAGCCAGAGGGGTCGCGCAGGTGCCTCGGGGCTCACCTGGCAGCGCAGCGGGCACCGCGTCCGGGGGATCCTCGTACACCGACACCGTGCTGCCGCTGCCCCCGCCGCCGATGCATCCAGAAAAGAACTTCCGCGGAGGCGCGAACTAACCGGGCACAGATATGGAAGAATGCGGGTCAGCCCTGGGGCGCTCAGCTTGCAAACCCCACCGGACCCGGCCAGAGGCCCCACCTTCCTCTCCGGCTTGCCCGGCGCGCCGAGGAGCCGGCCTGGCAGCTCGAGCATCCTGTTGGGGCAGATGCTGTCGAAGGCCCGGCGTCCCGCCGTGCTGCCCCCACACGCCTGCATCCCGTCTCCCTGCGAAGGCAGCGGCCCGGGCCAGGATGGCAGCCCACACCCTATGCTCCCTGTGCCCGCTGGCTCGGAAGTCCGCCCGAAGCTGGGGCAGGCTTGTGGCCGGGGCGGAGCAGAGGGAGGGGGGAAAGGAGGATCGCCGCGCGGGAGGGGCGGCTCGCGCCTGAGCGCCAGAGGTGGCGCCTTCAGCCCCGGACAATCTGCGCGCAGGCGGAGGCGTTAACTCAACCTGGCAACGGGCTTCCCCAAGGAGCCGCGAGCGCGGGGCCCGGGCCCGCCGGCGCCCTTTCGCCAGGGTTGGCGCCTCCGCGTCCTGGCAGCTCCAGGCTAAGAGAGGGAAAGAACCACAGGCAGGCAAGCCCCACTAGTCCCTAGCACCGGGCATCGCCTTGAGGCTTAAGGGCAGCAGGAACGGAAAAATTAAGGATTCTTATTTCCTTTTTTCCCATCCCAGCAACAAGGCACAAAGTAAACGTGGAGTGACGTGCCTCGCCAAAGCCAGACTCAAGCATCTGCTCTGCCCTGCCCTAAGAGATTCGGTGAGGATGTACAATTCTCGCAGGGACTCAAACAGCCCTGACATTACAGAAACCAGTGCCCCAAACCTGGGCCTATTCTGGGCCTTCACTCACAGCCTTCCAATTGGTCTTTCGGCCTAATGCTCACAGCCCTGGTAGTGGCGCCTGAGCACACCCTTCAAAAAAGAAAAAGGGACATCTACCCCTCCCCATCTGAAAATTCCTGTGGACAGTTCCAACTCCAGGAAAAGCCTGTCCCCTGGTGGTCTCAGCTGCCATCCTGGCGTTTGGCGGCTCTCTTCACAAGTGGTCTTAGCCTGATGTGCCAGTCTCAGTTCCCCTTCCCAAGTTGGAGTCCTCTTCCAGGAAGAGGCATCTTCAAGATGCTATGGATTCAGAAGAGGCATCTCCCAGAAAGGAGCATCCTTGGGTGAGCGGATCTCTCAGGACCATTCAGAGCCATCCCATTTGAAGTCATCTGAAACCAGAGTCTTTGTGTACCCTCCTACTGGACCCTTTATTTTTGCTTTATACCTTCTAAGTAGTATGAAAACTTCTCTTTTTAAAGTGTGATGATCCTCTTTTATTTGCTCTCATTGTCTGGATCAAGAAACAAGACACACCGAACAGCAGTGGAGGACATATTTATGGTAGACTGGCATGGACTTGGAGCCACCCTGAGGCATCTTGAACTGAGTAGAGTGGAGAAATCAGCCAGTTACCACTCCTGGTGTGATATTGCTGATGGTGAGGAGCTATGGCTTTAGAGTCAGACTCCACCAGATCTATGAGTCCCAAATCTTTAGGAAAAACAGTAGCACAAACACAACAGAGTTGCGGTGAAGATGAGTGGGCTTATTTATGTACAGTGACTGGTATTTAATATGGACAAATTATATCGATTTTTTTCAGTTCACCACCTTTTTGGTTTTATTTCCAGCTTCTCAGTCTGTTCCTGGCTGTGTCCTTGGTTCTTCTGATTCCTAAGAAACTCAGTCACTAGCCTGTCCACCCCTATTTTTGCCCACTTTCTAGTCTGTAAAATGAGTAGGGAAGCTCTTGACCGAGTTTTGGAGAGAACTCTACATATGGAGAGCGTTACAGATTTTCTAGGACAGGCTCACTTTTCAAATACCCAACAGTGAACTCCAAATTGGGGTAAACATATATGGGCATTGTATATTAAATCACCTGTGATAACAGGAACTGTAATAGCATGATTACATGACTCCTAGCCTGGATGATTCTGGAACCAATCACTAAGTTCCTGAAGAGCCAGGAGAGACAAGGATGGGGTTTTAGGGGGTTGGTTGAGTGATAGATTTGAAAACAATTCCTCTCAAATCACTCTTTGTAGAAGGGTCAGAGCCCACATTCTTGCAGCCAGGCTGAGGGTTCCATACAGTATGGGACTTGGGACAGGTGGTTGGGTCTTCCTCCTCCTCCTCTTCTTCCTCCTCCTCCTTTTTTACCACTGAGGAACAGCTTACTTCTTCCTGACCCAAGGAGAACCTTTCTGAAGAGCTTAGGGGTCCCAGGAGCCTACAGTCCAGGGGTCCCAGGCTCCAGAGAGCACTTAGGGGGTGCTTGTGGAGAAAAATCCAAAGAAGTTTCTAGAAATTTGATATTTGGCTTTTTGTCATATATTTCAGTTTCTTCTAAATATAGTAGCACATGAGTGGGATTATTTTTTTAAAAACAAACTATTTTTTCAGGCTGGCAAGATGATGCATGCTACTGGGGAGAATAAGACAGGAAGACCAAGCCCTGGTAATCTAATAAGACCCTGTCTCAAAAAAGACTGATGTAGATCAGTGGTAGAGCATTTGCCTAGCATGCAGCAGGTCTCAACTCCAGTCCCCGGTACAAAATAAAATAAAATAAAATCGGCAGTACAGAAATTTGAAGGGAAAAAAAAGTACAGTGAACTGTATGTTCATCCCCAGTTGTTAACATTTCCATTTACTTTATCTATTTCTTTGCTCCAAGATTTTTTTCCCCTGCATGAACTCTTTCCTCCCGTCATTGTGTAGGCTGCCCCTAGCCTTTTCTTATTATGGCTAGGCTTATTATATGCCAGGATCTGTGCTGGGGAAATTCTATGGACTGTCTCATTAGAGCCATACCTCAACCCTATAAAATAGGTACTACTGTTATTCCCATTTTTACAGAGATGTGGGTCTGGACTTGCCTAATGTCACCTAGAAATTTGCTTCAGAGCTTAATACTTTATACTACCTCACATTTAAACTGAACTTCACTTAAACTTCACAGCTTTGGTGTCAGTTGTAGAGGTGGGAGAGATTAAGAAATGTTCTGCAGGTGAAGCTGAGGCTCAGGGACTACAGCAGATTCATGACAATGAGAATGAATGTGACAATTGTAGAGCCACAGAAATCTAACAAGCCTGTCTCATTACCCAGCCCAGCTTTACCATCTGTAAATTGAGTCCTGAAACATGACTAGAAGGAATGGTACAGTATGGTAGTCCCTAAGTAACTTATGAGACACCAGAAATCTATAAATAAATATTTAGCAGTGTGACTAAGGGTGGAACTCTGAGCACCTGCTTTAAGTCCTCTGTGCCCCACTGTCATCCTCAGAAAATTGGGATAACACTTCATAGAAACATTGAAAGAACAAAATAATGAATGCTGAACATAGTGCCTGGTATGCCATAAGACTCAACACAGCCTTTATTACATTATGCCATTGTCGCCCTTGAGCTTGCATGTAGCAACATAAACTGAACCAAATGATTGCTTGGGCTCTACTTGAGTTGGCCCCAACACTCTGCAAAGCCATCCTTTCTGACATCTGCCATTGCATGTGGGATTCTCTATATTGGAAACATCTCCTGCTTCACCCTTAGCCAGTGTGCCTACCTGGTTCCCAAGGCTTCATAGCTCCACATCATGTGCATTGGCAAATGTACGCAGTGGGCCCTTTGGACAGCATACACTGCTGTGCATTTTACTCTGCCTTACACCCCACCGTACTCTCTGGATCCGTAGTGATACAGTCCTCAGCTTCAGAGGATCCCGACTTGTCTTACCACTGGAACCCTGGCATCCAGAACCTTGCCCAACTGGTCTCAGAGATTCTAACAGTGTTCAGACAAACCACAACAGCCCGTTTATTGAGAAAAGACAGCTCCCAGTGTTCTCAGACAAAATAAACTACTGGATTCTGCTATGGTACGCTATAACCTGCAGGATGGCAAGCAGGAGTCCCGAACCTCCCTCTTTGGACAAATACTGTACTCTTCTGAAGCAACGGGAGGGGTCCACCATTTCTAGCCAGAGGAAAGGAGCCTAAGGGTCTGCTTTATTTCAAGCCTGGGGACAAGCTGCACTTCTCACAGATCTGGAAGGGCAGAATGTGAGTCAGGGAAGTACTGTTTATGGCCACCAGTAGCTGCAACTTGCACAGGCAGTCCTGCAGCGCCGCCTCGGGATGCTGGCCCAGGCGCAGGTCCAGCGGGCGCGGAATTCGGAGCATGCGGTCCGCCAGCGCCAGGCAGCAGATGGCCAGCAGGGAGGGGACGTAGCTGGTGAAGGTGTAGTCTGCCAGGCTCAGCTCCGCCACTCCCCGAGCCAAGATTTGCGCTTCCAGGGCTTCAGAGACTTCAATTTGCCCCTTCTCCACACGCTCTTGAGTGAAATGCTCCAAGAAGAAGCTGATGGTGGGCGCACCTAGGCTGAAGTGCAGCTTGTGAAGCACGATACACTCGAGGTTGCAGAGCTGCTGCCGGGAGAAAGCGCCGCAGCACAGGGCTAGGAGCTGTTTCACGCGCGGAGGGTGAACTTCCACCTAGAATACAAGTGCACTCAGCGCCACCCCACAGCTTCCAGGGTTCGAGGCCTGCCCCAGCCTGAAACCCAGGAGAAGACTGGAATGCCCCCTCATCCTTTCCAGACACCCAGGGACTTCACCAGTCCACCACTCCCACTTAAATCGCCTGGTGTATACGTCCAGCGCAGCTTCCCTAACTACTGTGGGACTGAAAAAGGGGTTGGGAAATTTGGAAGTTTTTTACCCCTTTCTCCCCAGAGACCAGAATAGCAGCGCCAGAAGGCTTTTAGGGACTTACTGCAGCCTATTTCTTTTCTTTTCTTTCTTTCCTCTTTTTTTTTTTTTTTTTTTTTTGGTACCCGGGATCGAACTCAGGACCCTGCGCTTGTGAGGCAAGTGCGGTACCACGGAGTTAATCCCCAGCCCCGCCTATTTCTTTGGGGACCGAGCTGAAGGATCATTAAAGATGTAGATTTGCAAGCCTCTGCCAAAATAAGTTTGAGGAACCCAATACGAATTGTGTGCACTGGAGAGGCAGGCGGCCAGGAAGGAGGGCAGCTTAGCCGCAGCCCTGCTCCGGATGCCTCCGCAAGGTACCTGTTTGCAAGCGATGAGTAGGGAGGTGACACCGAGCAGCTGAAAGCAGTCTGCAGCCACAGGCGTGGTGGTAAGAAAGCGGTCCATTGTGTTCACCGTCAGGCACAGCGACTCAAAGGACAGCCCGAATTGGCGGTGCACGGGAATCAGCCAGCTGAGAAGCTTACAGCGGGATTCCGCTGTCACCTGCCGAATGAGAGAGAGAGGAAGGGAGCTGCCGAACGGAAGGGCCAAAAAGACCCAGGGAGCTTTCTCGGAGGAAAGCAGGAAAAAGCTAAACGCACTGGAAAGTGGGAATAACGCGGGCAATATTGCTACTCAAAGATCGCTGGCCTGGCTGAGAGTCGGAGGGCCGGGTTTCGTGCCTGGCGCCGTGCCGAGCGGTCCGTACACGTTACCTCCTTATCTCCCGTAATCCTCTCAGCAATTCAATGGGGGGTGGGGGTGGAGAAGTAGTCAATTTTGCAGATGAAGAAACAAATACAGGATTGCTAAATAAGCAGCCCGAGGTCCATGAGAGTCCGGACTCAACCTGGAAACTAACTCCTCTGCACTCTGCGCGCTCCACTATCTTGAGTCAGACCACGTAAGCTATGTACGCCCCACTGTAAAGTGACCCCGGTGAACAGGCCCTCGGAAGCCCCTGTTGCTCTACTTGGGGCGGGAACTAGGCTGCACTGGCGAGGGCGCCGCGAAGGGCGGAGCGCAGAAAAGGAGAGAGCCCGGGAAAGGATGGGGGGCGGCTGCGGAGAGCTGGCTCTACCAGCGCCTCACTTGTGGCTGCCGCGCCAGCGACTCCAGCGGATGGAAGTGGCTCTCCTGAGCCTTGCGGAAGGCGTAGCAGCTCCGACCGTAGTCGCGGAAGGTCTGTAGATCTAGTGGTGACAACAACTGGTCAGGACTGGGCAGAGGGCTGCAGTCCTGCGCCCCCGCCGACGCCACGGGGCTGTCTGCGCCGTCCGAGCCTGAGCTGGGGGACTCGGACAGGTCGCAAACGCCTGAGTCCCCGGGGAGCAGGCACGGGTTCAGGGGCTGTAGCGGCTCCTTCCTCCGGAGACGCGGGCGCCTACTCTTCTTCACTGGGGCCCGAAGATTCTGGTCGTTATCCCGCCTTTCTGACCAGGCCGCGGGGCTCGAGGGGCTGGTGGGGCAGGGGGTCACCATGATGCAGCCAAGTGGCCGCTGTACTGCCCCCAACGCCTTGAGCGCAGCGAGCCGCAAAAGCGCACACCAAGAGAGTTCGAGGGAGGCCAGGGCAGCTGCCGGTGCCTCCCTAAGTACTCGTCCTGCCCCTTCGCTCTACCACACCCTCGGCCTTTCACTGGCTGAGGCCAGAGCGGCCCGAGAGCCGCGCTTTCTCGGGTAAAGAACCCTCCCCTTCCTTGCTAGAGGCTCTTCTGTCCGCGACTGGAAGGAGGAGCTGCAACCCGCGCCGCGCACCCTCGCGCGTTCTGCGTTACCCTGGCGACCGGAGCCGAGTAGTGGCGCGAGCTGGGTGCTCAGAGTGGGTCCGAGTGGGGGCGACGGCCCAGCCAGATGAGCTGCGGGCCCAAATGAGGGCCTCTGCTGCAACCGAAAAAAAGGGTCTCCCATGTAGCATCTCCCTGCCTTTTTTTTTTAGTACCGGGGATCGAACTCGGGTTCTTGCTCTTGCAAGGCAGGCGACGGAACCACTGGGCTAATTCCCCGACCCTCTCTGCCCTTCTATTCAGACTGTAACACAGGTCGGTAACTCTTTAAAGTCGGGCTAGAATTCTGTCAGCCTGGTTTTCTTCTGGGACCCGCATAAATAATGTAAATGTATTTGCTTTTGTTTCGGTCAGTACCCTTCCGCCGGTCTCGGGGCAGAGCCTTGGCGTTGTCCTCCTGTGCTGCAGAGTAAGTAGGAGCTACCAGGATTTGTGATTAAACAAATCAGAAAACTGGCCAAACCAACCTCTTGCAGCAAGTCCACAGTCCCCAAGATAGCACCTTCCTCTGCACTTTTAACCCCAAGCCAAACAGACCGTTTAAGAGCAATGTTGCGGTAGGGTTGCATTTCTAGTTTTACCAAATTGCTCACAGGCTGTTCTGTTTAAGATCATTAGCTTCTAACCTTCTGCTCCGGGAAGCCCAATTCTTGGTTATTCCCTGTCTCTCAGAAGCAGCAGCTTAGGGAAGCAGAGCCGGGGGCGGGGAGTTGGGAAGCTTAGGAGTGTCCCCAGGCCGGAGAGACTGCGTGGCTCCCCCCCCCGCCCGCCCTCCCGGCAGTGCTGGTCTAGTCCAGACTCCTGTGCCTGTAGAGCTGAATCCTCCCCTGGCCTAAGTGAACCTTCCTGAGGGTCTCTGACCCTTTAGGAGAAGGCGTACTGAGGCACAATGGAGATCTGGCGGACCTGGTCGGCATTGCCCAGAGGCAGTAAGCACAGCTATCTTCAGCCTGAATTTTTCAGAGATACTCCAAGAGGCGAGGTTACTAAATGCCACACCAGTAACAAGTTCAGCTATCCTCACCTCATCGTAGAAGAAACCTAACACGTGTGTCTAATCAAAGTAAATTTATGCGCCTAGAAATTTAGTGGAGGGTGGGGTGGTGTCTCATAGAAATGCAGTTGAAAGAAAAGGAATAGATTTCAGGTTTTGGCTACTGTTACTCCTATTTCCCTGTAACACTGACCAAGCTCTTTATTCTCCCAACATTTATGGTGTCATCAGTAACATGGGAGATTAGCTAAGAATGGCCTGAGAACGGTTTTCAAAACACAGGTGCCTGGCCTCTGTCTCCTCTCAGGCTATTGTTGGGGAAAATTATAGGAGGAATAATTGAATCTTAGATGTCAGATATCAGATTTCTTCCCAGAAAAACCTGAATAAAGAGGAAAAATTGAGGAATTATGACTCCCTACTGGCCAGAAGGCCAGGTGTTATAGAGAAAAGCGCTTGAAGTCTCATTTATTGGTTATCTTGGGCAAGACATTATACAGTCTCCACTTCCTTGTCTGTTAAATGTAGATATTTTATTTACTTTCAGGGTTAAGAGAAATAGGTGTAAAAACTCAAAGTCCTTTTTTTTCTTTTCTTTTTGTGATATTGGGGATTGAACCCAGGGCCATCACACTACGCTACCTCCCTATCCCCACCTCCCTTTTTTGGAGAAAGCTTTTGGTTTAGCCGCTAAATTGCCTGGGCCAGGTTCAAACTTGCAATCAATCCTCTTCCTCAGCCTCCCAGAATTCTGAGATTACAGGCATGTACACCACACCAGCTTAAAGTCTCTCTTGAATGTAAAAATAGTGGGGGCACCTTAAAGTCTACATTGGAAATCAATGATATTACTGAACTGGAGATATTTTGAAAAGCAGTAGCATCATTTGATCTACCTGTGGATGTGAGGCTCTCCTTGTACCATGCTGAAAATACTTGGTTCTCTGAGAGAATTTGCCTTGGAGTCTAATTCCAATAGGTGCTGGCTGAGTTAGCTCCATGGATCTATCCTTCAGTATTTGTGCAATTCCTTGTATGGGCCCTGCCCTCAAGCATCTGACTCTGGTGGGGAAAACAAAGGACCACTTGTTGCAGTTAAGTGGTACCTTGGTTTAAGAGCTTAATTCTTTCCATGATTCTGGTTGCAAACCAAATTGGATGAGAACCAAATCAAATTTCCCCGTAAGGTCGACATTGAACCTAACCATTGAATTTGATTAGTTATTGTCGAATTTGGTTTGTGACCAGAATCGTGGAAAGAATTAAGGTCATGAACCGAGGTACCACTGTTTTTAAATTATTGAAGTATTAGAAAGGTGATGATAGAGGATCTTCTGAGTTTAGGGTTGACAGAGAAAATGCAGGATATCTGTTTAAATTTGAATGGAAGATAGACTATTTTTTAGCATAAGTATGTCACAGATATTGCATGGGACATGTAAGAAAAGAATTACTTACCATTTATTTGAAATCCAAATATTGCATGGGACATACTTATACCAACAGGTTATTTGTTCTTTAGCTGATACTCAAATTTAATTGGACATCTTGACATCTGGCAGCCCTACCTGAGAGCATTGAAAGCCCACAGTAGGAGCAGCTATGATGATCTGGGAAGGCTTCCCGAAGGAAGTGGTGGTTAAGCTAAGATAAGCAGGAAGACAGAAAGCAGAGAGGAGGAACATTTGGGTGAGAGTGTTCCATGTAGAGGACCAGAATGTGGGAGGAGGTGGAAGGAGATTCCTGGGAAGTTGCAGGGCTTGTATCAGTGCCCATTCAATACTGAATGACTAAAAGGGAAGTAGGGAAGATCATAGCTAATATTTATATAAAATTGATGTCCCAGATACTGTGTTATGCTCTTTGTTATATTCATTCAATCTCCACAATAGCAGTATGACGTAGCGTCTATCATTGTCTCCATTTTATAGATAAGCCAGGGGCCTGGGATTTAGCTCAGTGGTCTCACTGCCTGCTTGGCAAGCATAAGGATCCAAGTTCGATCTCCAGTACCAAAAAAAATATATATATATATATAGATATAGATATAGATATATAGATACAGATATAGATAAGCCAGGAAAACAGCATAGAGAGGTAATTTGCCCAAAATCACAAAGCTAGTAAATGGCATAACAAGGATTTAAATTTAGCCTAGCACCTTGCTCCATAGTTACTGTGATATACTCCTTCAGCAGCAAGATCATGCCATGCCTTGTAGGCTACATTAAATGTTTAGATTATCTGAAGCCACTGAAGAAGACTGACCAAGGGGGAGAGCTGACATGTCTCTTACTTCAAAGATTACTTTGACTGCTGTGTGGAAAATGGGCTGGAGGGGACAAGGTTGGAGGCCAGTTAGGTACAATTCAAGCAAGACATGATGGTGGGGAATGAAGATGGAGATAAGAGATTAGATTCTAAAGATATTTCGGAAACAGATTAAAAGAGGAGGCCTCAGTGTAGAAAGTGAGGATAAATCAAAGAGGACTCTGAGTATGACTTATGCACTGGACAAAAGAGTGGATGGTGATTAAAATGATGAAGTCTCCATAGATCTAGGTAAGGTTTTAAAAATACTATGTGTTTCCATTCAGCTAAGTCTTTAAAGGCAGAACTCAATCAGGATCTAAGAATTAAAGGACGCACTGTTATCTAAGTATAGTACCAGTTGCAACATTTTGTTCTCAGCTGTTGCACAGATGAAACAAATCCCTAGATTTTTTTTTTTTTTTTTTGTACCGGGGATCGAACTCAGGTCCTTGCGCCTGCGGGTCAGGCAGTGGAACCACTAAGCTAAATCTCTGGGCCCCCTAGATTTTGATTTAATTAATTCATTAAAATATTTATGCACTCAATATAAACTTATGCTTCATGGAATTTGGCAAAAACAAAGCATGAAGAGAGCTTTTCTAACAGTGTAGCATTTGAGTCAAAGAATCTATTTTGTAATTCAGCAGATGGTTTTTATGTTGTTTTTTCTTCTAATTCAGAGGTGGATGAAACTTCATTTCCTATTGATTTAACTTGGATATAAAAATCCCTTCTCTCTGGGGATTTAGCTCAGTGGTTTCGCTGACTGCTGCGCAAGCACAAGGACCCGAGTTCGATCCCCGGTACCAAAAAAAAAAAAGAGTGGAGATAAAAATCCCTTCTTACCATCGCCTTGAAAACTGAGGGCTACATTTTTCATTTTGTACTCCTGCCCACTGCTTCCAAGAAGAGCTCCTCTGGGCCATATCTCTGTAACACTTGGGGCTTCTGCAACTTTATAGAGTAGAAAGGCAAAGAATCCTTGGCATTTCTCCATTATAGCATCTAGCATAATGTTCTCACTTCTGCACCTCTATCCTCTTTTTTTAAAAATTTATTTTATTTATTTTTTCTATCTTAATTATAACTTGTGCTCTTTGGTAAAAGCCATGTTTACTTTCACTCATTCATTCACTTGTTTGTCAAATATTTACAGTCTACTATGTGCCAGGCACTTTCCCTAGGTGCCAGAAATATAGCAGTGAATAGAACAAACCAAAGTTCTTATAAAGCTTATGTTTTAGCTTATGCTTAGTATAAGCAAGTAATATTTAAATAAATTATTAAATATTGTATTTAATACATTAGGTGGTGAAACAAATAAGAAAAATAAAGCAGGAAAGGGAAAATAGGAACTGTAGGGCATGAGGATTATAGAAAAAAAAATTTTTTTGAAACAGGGTCTCTCTATGCACTGCAGGCTGGCCTTGAACTCACTATATAACCCAAGCTAGCCTTGAACTCATGGTGAGCCTCCTGCCTCAGCCTCTCAAGTGCTAGGATTATAGGTATGCACCATCACACCCAGCAAGGATTATAGGAATTTTAAGTAGAGAGATCACAAAAAGCCTCACTGAATCATTGGTACTTGAACAAAGACTTGAAGGAA